AGGGATGATTCGAAGGCAGAGCTTTTTCTTGAATTTTAAATGATTTTTCGTAAAATTCAAGTGCTTTCGAGTAGTCACCCATGTTATTATACACTTGACCGATGTTGCTGTATGAAGTAGCCAATGAAGGATGATTCGAAGGCAGAGCTTTTTGTGTGATTTCTAGATCTTTTTCGTAAAATTCAAGTGCTTTCGAGTAGTCACCCATGTTATTATACACTTGACCGATGTTGCTGTATGAAGTAGCCAATGAGGGATGATTCGAAGGCAGAGCTTTTTCTTGAGTTTTAAATGATTTTTCGTAAAATTCAAGTGCTTTCGAGTAGTCACCCATGCTGTTATGCGCTGTAGCGATCCAGGCGTAGGATTCGGCCAAATCGGAATGTGTCGGAGGCAGAGTCTTTTCCCTTATTTTAAGTGCTGTTTCGAAATATTCAACTGCTCTCGAATAATTACCCATGGCATTATGCCCTGCACCGATATTAGTGTAGATTTCAGCCAACTTTGGATGATCTTTGGGTAGAGTTTTTCGATAGGTCGCGAGGGCGATTTTGAAAAATGAAATTGCTTGTTGATATTGTCCTTGATGATATCTCACCTCTCCAAGCATATTATAGATACGTGCTCTGTCACTATCATCCGATGCCTGTTCTAGTAGTGCCAAATATAGTTCTTCGGCCTTGTCGAATTGACCTATTTGTAGTAACAATTGACCCATTCGATACCATCCGGTACCGTCGACTTCTTTTCGTATAAAGTCAGTTAATTCTCGAAGTTGTGGATCATCATCTGACGTAAGTTGAAGATCGACTTGATAAAGTGCACGATTGTTGTCAAGTTTTCGCACTTCACCAATACGAAAGACGGTGTGCATGGTGAAAAGAATTTCCTCTTCTTCCTTATAATAGCTCACCTCCTGGATGGAAGCGAATGGAGTTGATGATATTGTAGGATCGATGGTTATTTGGAATAGAATTCCAACCATATCAGTCATTTTCAAGGCTTCTTTGGCGAAAACAAGGGAGACATCTGAATTTGTGCTGGTTGATAAAAAGTTGTTAAAAGAAATAAGCCCACCTTTGTTTTCTGCGAGCTTTTGAAAATCTGCTTTCGATAGGCCTTGCCCTCGAAAGATTGTAAAAATCTTGTTATGGTATTGACTGACCTGATTTTTGTATAAGGTTTCGATTTGTCGATGTACATCACACAGGAAAAAACCCATTCGTATCATAATGTCGCCATTGAGTGTTCGTAATGCGCCATTCAGCATTTTGTAGGTAAAACATTGGCGTGTATACCACCAAATGGCGTTGGATGCTTTATAATTACGTTGAAATTCTTGGATAATTTTGATTTCATTCGTATTGCCTTGATATTGTTCTTGGCAGTAGGTGACCAAATCTTGGACGGCTTGTTGTTCATGTTCGATTTCAAGGAGTATTTCCTTGAATATTTGCGAATACATAAAAGAAGGTTCTAGCTGATCTAGATTCTTGCTAGAACCTCCTGCATTCACACTAACAATGCTCACCGACATATGATCTTGATTGTATTGTTTGATTGCTGTTGCCAATTTGTCGCAAATATGTTTGATTGTTGTGTGAACACCTTTAATTTTGGGCCAATTTTGCGCCCATACTTGATGCCGTTGTTTATTGCCACAAAATATAAAAATGGCATTTAATTTTGCCATATCATGAATATCCGGCACTAAATGTTGTCCAAATGCACCTGAGGAGATAACAAATGAGATCTCCTCTTGATTTTCCATAAGCATTTGTACACATTGTTCAGGTGTCTTACATGGATTAACTTGATTGACGACAGCACGTAATTGTTCCATTGTATTTTGGCAATCTTGATTTGCCATGTCGATATTTCCATCGACCCAGATGACCAAATAATTTTCAGCCATACGGTGTCTTTGATATCGAGTCATTTTTGATGCCATTTTTGCTGCTTGATTAGTAAATAGATTGTTGTTTGAATAGATATTACTTTTGCTATTTATACGTTGGATGTCGACTGTTTTTTTCGTTGAAACTCAAGGTCAAACTTTACCTGGATGTTATCAAAAGTATCGTTGTCAGTAACAAAAGGTAGAGAAAAAAAAACCCAGTAATATCATTTATTTTATGGTTATTCTTTCCAACTTTCGTTTTCTTATCATCTATATAGTTAATAGTCACTTGAAAGTCAGTGCATTGGGTGTCTTATCTCATTCAGTTGTTATTTGTCTTTCATTATCTCGAAACAAATAAAGATATTGTCAGTTTTATTTTTTTATTATGCATAAGACTTGCTGTCTGATAATGTGAGTAGAAGAAAATGAAGAATAAATTCAATATTGTTACAAACAACAATAGAACAACAGTTTCTGCTTGCGCCCTCAATATACTGTTCATTATTCACGAGTTGTTCAAGTAAAATAATAATAGTTCGAATATAATTGAGTATTGAAGTACGTATTATGAATTCAATGAAAGTACTAAAATATATAGATATTTTGAGATTTTTACGTCATATGTATTGAGAAATAAGTTTTTTCTGAGTATAATAAATATTTTGTTAATACAAATCACGATTTTCAAATATTTAACTGTTGATGGAAAGGACAGTACAAAGAAAAAGAAATCTTACTTGGAAATGAATTACTATGTGATTACAATTATTCAGTTAATTTTTACAGTGTATTACAATGAATTATTTTAGGTTTTTATTAATTACCTATGATTCATATTTATCATGATATTAGTTACATTTATAATGTCATTATTTTCATCTCTTTTGCATTTTTT